GTGCGTGCGTGCGTGCGTGCGTGCGTGCGTGCGTGCGTGCGTGCGTGGGTGCGTGGTTGCGTGCGTGCGTGCGTGCGTGCGTGCGTGCGTGCGTGCGTGCGTGCGTGCGTGCGTGCGTGCGTGCGTGCGTGCGTGCGTGCGTGCGTGCGTGCGTGCGTGCGTGCGTGCGTGCGTGCGTGCGTGCGTGCGTGCGTGCGTGCGTGCGTGCGTGCGTGCGTGCGTGCGTGCGTGCGTGCGTGCGTGCGTGCGTGCGTGCGTGCGTGCGTGCGTGCGTGCGTGCGTGCGTGCGTGCGTGCGTGCGTGCGTGCGTGCGTGCGTGCGTGTCGGCGTGTGTGTGTGTGCGTGTGCGCGTGCGCGTGTGCGCGTGTGTTTGTGTGCGCACCGGCTGCGCACTTCGCGACGGTGTCGTCGCGTCGCCGTCGGAGGAAAGGGTGTGCGTGTGTGTGTGTGAGTGTGTGTGCATGCGTGTGTGGTGTGCGTGTGTGTGTGTGTGCGTGTGTGTGCGTGTGTGTGTGTGTATGTGAGTGCGTGTGAGTGTGTGTGTGTGTGAATGTGTGTGAATGTGTGTGTGTGTGGGGGGAAGTTGGTGGGGGGTCCCCTCGCAGATTATCCAGTCGATTGTTGACGCGACGATGTGCACGTTGTTTACACCCACTGAGGATTATCCAGTCGATTGTTGACGTGACTACGCGCATGTTGTACACTCTCTCTGGCCCTTGTACAATCGCGGTCATCACGCCACCATCGATCAGCCGCGGCCGTGGCGCTGGTGTTCGATAAGTCTAACTAGTAAGGTGAGGTGGACACGTTGCCTTCATTGTGTTCACCAACATCATGCTTTACATCCGCATCGCCATCGCAGCCGTGCTCTCATCCGTCATTTGTCGGTGGGCAGGGGGTAAGTGATCGGGGCGGGCCTTGTCAGAAGGCTTGGAAGACCCCCAGCCTTCTGAGAATATTTCCTGAGCCTTCCCAAAGGACAGAACATTTCTCAGAAGGCCAGAGGGCTCTTGAGAAGCCCAGCCTTCTCCCTTCTCACGTGCCCCCCCTTCCGCTCGCCGCCGAGTCATGATGACAACTGATCGCCATCAGCATCATCGGGGCAGCTCCTCGCTAGAGCCGCGGCCTGGCGCCACGCCGCGCAGACATCCGCCCGCGCGCGCGAGCTGCGGCCGCAGGACGCCTCGGGCGCGGCGGCCGCGGAGGCGCCTGCGCCCCAGGTCGATCCAGCATGACGGTCGAGGAGCAGGATGAGCAACGATGTGAGAAGATTGTGAGAAGGCCACGTACTGACGACGACGACGACGACGACGACCGCAACGACCACAACGATGACGACGACGACGATGACCTTGACGACGACGACCACGACCACGACGACGACGAAGACGACGACGACGACGACGACGACGACGACGACGACGACGACGGCGACGACGACGACGACGACGACGAGGTGCAAAAGCTATGACGACGACGAACATCGACTGGAACGGGCAGGAGAGCAGGACGAACAGGGAACAGGAGGGAGTGGAACAGGAGGAGGAGGAGGAGGAGGAGGACGAGGGGGAGGAAGGAGGAGGAGGAGGCGGAGGAGGAGAGGGAGGAAGAGGAGGGTGATGCGGAACGCTGTGCTAAACAGTACTAGGTCGAACAAAGCAGGAGGAGCAGCAGCACCAAGAGGAGGAGAAGGCGAGGGAGGAGCAGCGGCGGGAGGAGCGTGAGGAGCGGAACAAAAAGAGTGGGCATGACGACGAGGACGAGCAGGAGGAGAAGGATCAGTAAGTAAGCGAAGGGCGAAATCATACTCGAGACCGGTATTTGTTTCCCTCAGGCGCGCGCCGAGGAAATGTTACTTAAGACCAGCTTTTTCCTTAATGGCCGCTTCTGTGATGCTCAGGCGGAAGTTTCTTTAACAGTTTTTACGCCGGTTGGGCTTGCATCCAGAGCTGACAGCAGAGGAAAACAAAAAAAAAAAGTTCGATTGGGAGGATGAGGATCCTCGAGGACTGGGTCGAAAAGCGAAGCGGCTGCTCACTCGCTGCCTGGCCTGGCGTGCAGCGCCTCCGGCGCGGCAAGGGAAGGCAGAGTTCCATGTCGAGCAGCACGACGCCCCGCACGACGCCCCGCAGCGCCCCGCCGCTCCCTTTGAATCGCGCCGCGTCGGCACCGACCCTCAGTTGGCGTACAGCCGGACCGAGGTGCAAGATCTCGGTCGGTCCTGGGAGGGTACCCTCGTGTCCTTCGTGTCCTCTGGATCTTCTTGTGCACTCTGGGGGGGGGCACCTTTGGCCTCTGGGTGCTCTGCGTGCTTTGGCCGGCGGAGGGGCCTCGTGTTCTTGGAGGAGGCTCTTCTGGCCCAGGTCCGACCGCACTCCCGACGGGCGGGCTCCACTCGGAGCTCTCAGCGGCCCCGACCCCCCGATGAGGCGTACTCGCGCCGGTGGCAGCTGGCCCAGATCCTCCGACGGGAACAGCTCCAGGAAGAAGAAGAAGAAAAAGAAGAAGAAGAAGAAGAAAAAGAAAAAGAAGAAGAAGCCGATGCTGCGTCGCAGCGGTTCCATGCTCGCCCGCGTGGCCATTCCCTGGGCGCGCACAGGCGCGCAGGGCCTCTAGAGCCCGCCCCCGCCGCGGCCGAGGCACCCGGAGTGCGCGCAGCCGCCAGGGCGGCCTCGGACGCCGCGAGCCGCTCCCTCCTCCTCCTCCTCCTCCTCCTCCTCCTCCTCCTCCTCCTCCTCCTCCTCCTCCTTCTCCTCCCTCGCAAGACGACTCTGCGCACGCTGCGTCGAGAGCCGCGCACACTCCGCTGGGCCCAGCGGCGGCCGAGGCTGGGCCCTCGGGGGTGCGTGGCGGCGCGCACCGGCCGCGCGACGCGCGGCACGCCAGCCGGCGTGTGCCCCACGTGGGCCTCCGCCGCGGCCGTCCGCACCTCCGTGCCCCGCGTGGCCTCCCGCGGCGCGCCCGGCGGCCGCCGCCGCGTGCGGACAGGCGCGGGAGCAGCGGCTGCCGCTGGCCCCGTCTCAGGAGGGAGAAAAACACACAGACACAATTATTTGTCGACTCCCAGAAAATATGGGGAAATATGGGAAGTGGGGGGGAAGACAAAAACCCAGAAAATATGTGGAACTATGGGGAATATGTTTATTTGTGTGTATTTATTTGTGTGTCCTGGGGCCCCTTCAGCTGGCCCCGTCGCCGCCGCCTCCGGGCACGCCTCGCGCGGCGACGCCCGCGCGAGCGCCCCCGGGGGGGTGCCCGCGGCGGCTGCAGCGCCCCCGGGGTCGCTCCGCGCCGCCGCGGGGCCCGCCGGCCGGGGCCCCCCACGACCGCGGGCTCCTCCGCCTGCCTGGGCTGCCTGCGGCGGCGCTCGCCGAGGGCCGCGCCGCTCGGCGGAGGCCGCCCAGCCGCTCGGCCGTGCGCCCTTCTCACCACCCACCAAACCACCCCAACCCAACCCGAAGGCTCAGATTTACCCTCGATTTCTAGTGGGGGGGGGTCCGGGAACGTGGAAAAAACACGTATGGAACCCTTACCCCCCCCAACCCGAAATTCGGGCCTTCGGGTTGGGTTGGGGTGGTCTGGTAGGTAGTCACCTTCGGCGCCGCGGTGCTGTGCCCGGCGCTGGGCGGCAGGCGGGTTGGAGGAGGAGCCGAGCCTCGTCTTCTCGGCGGCGGTCGGCGGAGGTGGGTCTGCGCTTGCGCGCAGGCGCCAGGGCGTGTCTTCGGCCTGGAGGAGCGGAAGCTTTAGGAGCAGGTGGGGTGAGCAGGAGGAGCGGCAGGAGTGTCCGCGCGGGCGCTGCAATACTAGCGCCGAGGCCCACGAATCCGAGCAGCAAGAGAGGAGCGCGATGAGCAACGGCAGGGTGAGCAGCAGGCGGAGCAGGAGACGGTGAAGAGGGAGGAGCAGCAGGAGCAGGGGGTGATTTACGAGAAGGCAAGACCAGACGGGCCCCCGACTGGCAATACATCCCACCCTCGAGAGGGGGAGGAGCAGTGGCCGAGAGGTCAGGAGGGGTGATGGGCAGGCGGAGGAGGAACAGCTGCAGGAGTGCGGAGACGACCAGAGGAGCAGCAGGAGCAGTAGCAGGAGGATGAGGAGGAGAAGGGCAGACGAGGAACAAGGAGGAGGAAGGAGGAGGAGGATTATTTCGTGAGGAGGAGAGGTCGGGAGGAACCGTGGCATCTGGGGGCACATTCCCGTCAACCTCCGCCCCTTGTGGTCCCTCCCTGCCCCCGCCCTCCCAGGGGGAAGCCCTTCTCGCGGACACTTTCGCGGCTGGACCGACGGCCTTCGCGGTGCAGGACCTCCGCCGCCGTGCAGTCGGGGCAAGGAGAACTCAACGGGCACGTCCTGGCCCCTGGCCCGTTCAACGGGCGCATTTTGATGGTTGACCCGCTTTGCAGGTCTCTGCGCAAAGTTGTTCCGAGACCAGGTTGAAGGGGTATCGTCCATTTTGGCGCCGTTTTGGGTGGCTTCTGGGCGGGGTGGGGGGATCTTGGGTTTGGTCCGGTCTCTGGACGTCCTGGGGCCATGTGGGGGCCATTTTGGAGGCCGCATGGTGGCTTCTCGGGCAATGTTTGGCAGTTCAAAATGGGAAGGACTGGGGCGAGAACGCGCAGCTCACTGAATCCATAATTGACGATTTGGGGTTTCTGGACGATGTGGGGTGTCTGGACTGCCTCTTGGGACTTCTTAGGGTTTTCTGCGGATGTCTTGGGGCTTCTTCTGTTTTTCTGGAGGTCTCTTGGGTGGAGGGCGTATGAGGAGCTGCCTTGTCGCATAGTCCCTGTCAGGGTCCCTGAAGCTTCGGGAGACTCGCCTCCGTCATTCTTTTCAGGTCGAATACGCAGTCTTCAAGTTTTGGCTCTTACCCGCGTTGTCTTCAAACTTGCTCTGGTTGCTCCCTGTTTGTGTTGTAGCTCCTCGGCATTTGGAAAGCCACTGCCACGTGCGTACTCTTTGTTCTGATATTGTTATATTTGCCCTGGCGACTCTTCTCCGTGTAGGCGGTCCCTCTCTGATATGAGGTACTCGGTCCTCTCCGGACGGCTGTTTGTAATTTCATTGGGGGTCCAAGTTAGTCAAACACTGTAGGTCTTCGCACACGTTCGCTAATCGAATCATTCCTGTGTCAGTTGCGTTGGTCCGTCTCTTTGATCACTCTTGTAGGGGCCAGGCGGAAAGGCAGGGCCAGCTTATTCCTGTTCGTGTTGCCGGCTTATTCCTGTTCGTGTTCATGCTCCCAGCCTGCCTTCGTCTGCGCGCAAGAGTGACTTTTCGCCGCAGTGACCTTTTGTGCGCTGCTTTCGGGGGGCGCTGCGGGGCCAAGCCCACGTCCGCAGGCCGCCACCGTCGCACCGCACGCAGCGCCCAGGAAGCTGCGCACCAGAGGTCACTCTTGCCCAGGGTCGCTCAAACATGTACTCCAGATTCCGTAATAAAAGGGAGGGGGTCCCAACCCTCCCAGACGAGAAGTTTTAGACCCCCCAGGTTATCCATGAAAGGGCGGCCCTTTGCCCAGACCCCCCCGAACCCTCCAAGACAGCTCAAATCAGACCCCCCCGAAAATGTTCAGGAGGGGAAAAAAAAACAGACACAATTAATCGTCGATCCCCCAGAAAATATAGGAAAATATGGGAAGTGGGGGGGAAGACAAGAACCCAGAAAATATGGGGAACTATGGGGAATCTTTTTTTATGTGTGTGTATTTATTTGTGTGTCCTGGGGCCCCTTCAAATGTGACCCCCCCCACTTTATCATGGAATCTGGAGTAGCCGATGTCTCCCTCTCTTCCAGCCCAGAAGGCCCGCCCCCTCCGACTTCCCCCCTGGGCTCGCCGCCACCCGTCTCGGTCCGTCGGCCTCCCAGGTGGGGTCAGGGTAGACGGTCTCGGAGGATAGCGCCGCATCGCCGATGCGGTTCGATATGGGGCATGATTCGCTCCGCGCTGGCGTCGCCGATGCATCGCCGATGCATCGCTGATGCATCGGCGATGCGGCGCAATCCTCCGACCCACTCACACGGACCCCATCTGGGGGGCCTCTTGTCGGCGGCGAAATCCGAAACCTGCCCTCGACGATCAACGGTTCAGGCAACTCGATGGGCGGCGGCGCTAGGGTTCGGAATTCGTCGAACACGTTTCAAAATCCCAATCGTACCCCCGCCTTCATCGATTCGGGAGAATCGATGGTTGGTGGGGGTAGGGCCAAGATGTCGTCACCAATGTATGGTCTGTCTTCTTGCCTTCCAGCCCCCCCCCTCTCCCCGACGAGGAGCAGGACCCGTCGCCTGGGCCACGGGAGACCCCAGTCGCCGGGGCTGGGTTCCAGGAGGCCGAGAGCGGTGTTTTTTCTTTGACGCGAGCATGTTTGGGGGCCTGCCTCTGTGGAGGTCGATTGATGGAGAGGAAGCGTTCACTCACTCACTCACTCATGCCATACGCCGGAGCGCGTGGGCGAAAGAAGACGAGGACAGCCGATTCTCACCGCTTTGCGGGAGCGGCGGCACTACGGCGGTCGCATAAAACGCAACGTGCGCGGCAGCAGGAGGAGGAGCAGGAGGAAGGAGGGAAGACAACCGGCCGGCGAATGGTAAAGACTGCGCTTGGAACGTATCCGGCCGAAGGCTGCAGAAAGGACGCCAAGGCACTGGGCATCACATGCAAGGTATGTAAACCAAAAAAAGCTACATAATACTAATGGCGATCGGGTTCATCATCATGGTGTGCAATGTGTTCAGAAATACTTCGCCACTCGATGGGGTCTTGCAGGCGCTGCGCCCAAGTATGTTCCGGGCCAAGACGAGCAACCAAAGCCTTGTGTAGGCATGTCGCCTAATAGTTTCCAGACGTCTAAACATGTTTTACACAATTTAAGCACGTGTTTGATTCGATGACAGGATTGTCAGAGTGTCCACTTCTGGGCGCCCGAAATGGGTACGGAAAGAATGGGTACAATGCCCAACAGCAGTTCCTGTTCATTCTGAACAGGATTCGCTGTCCACGCCGCCGCGGCCTGTGTCCATTCGAGACAGGAGGCCGCCTGCCCAACAGCGGCCGCTGTTGGTTTGGGACACCATTTATTGTTGGGCACTGTGCCCATTTTTGTCCGTACCCATTTCGGGCGTCCAAACCACTGTCATTCAGGAGCGAAAGAAGGACGTACATGTACATGAATCCACGCTGGTTTCGAGAGTTCGCATTGCGCGAATGTTCGTATCGCGCGGCAGGTCTCGCGGGTCAAGGGGCCGTGTTCATGTACATGGCTGGGCGCGTACGTCCTTTGTGGGCTCCCTAGTCATGGCATCCACAAGCCTGCCTCCTTCCCTTCCCGCCCCCCCCCCCCGACGAGGAGCCCCTGTGCCCCTTTTTTCCGTACCCATTTCGGGCGTCCAAACCGTTGCCATGGCATCCACAGGCCTGCCTCCTTCCCTTCCAGCCCCCCCCCCCCGACGAGGAGCCGGACCAGCCGCCCAGGCCTTCGCTGCACGAGAGCCCCCCGCGCGGGAGCGCGTCCAGGCTCAAGGCCGGGGCGCCCAAGGGCGGGCGGGCCGCGCGCCGTGTCGGGGCCGCACGGTTCGGAGGTGGATCTGATGGGCCTGTTTTCCACCACCACCACCATAGTTGGAGGGGGGGGGGAGGAGGAGGAGGAGGAGGAGGAGGAGGAGGAGGAGGAGGAGAGGAGGAGGAGGAGGAGGAGGAGGAGGAGGAGGAGGAGGGAGGAAGGAGGAGGAGGAGGAGGAGGAGGTGCAGGAGGACCTCCCCCCACCAACTCATGGTGGTGGTGGTGGAAGATACGCCCATCAGGATCGGCCTCCTACCCTGACACGTCGATTCAGGAATGGGCCGCTTTCGGTTCGCGACTCGCGGTGCCCCCTCGCCGCGATGCCCCCTCGCGGCGAGGGGGGCGTCGCCGGCCGTCACTTCGGGGCGCCGCGGGCGTCACGGAATGGGCCGTCTTCGGTTCGGAGGCGGATCGACCTCCTGCCCGGGGGTGCGGGGGGGGGGGGGGGCGACCAGGGCAGGTCGGGGGCG